GCCGCCTGGACGCCTCCGCCTTCCAGAGAGGCCTCCATGGCAAGTGCCTGGGCCGAGGGTCCCGGGCTCCCGGGCTCCACGGCTCCCGTCGAAGTCACCGGGACCCACACGCCTCCGCCTGTCGGGCACCGAGCCTGGAGGGCGCGCGTGATAGGTCCCGCCTCCCTGGTTTCCCGGCCTTTGCTGGGAGGTCTCCGGGACGGTTGGGGGAGGTGCGGGGGGAGCAATGGTGACGGTCACAGGCTCTGGGATCAGCAGCCCGAGTTTCTGGCCCACCTTCTAGCGTGTGACCTTCACCTTGGGCAGGTCCCGTAAACCTCCATTTCCTCTTTGGTAAAACCGGGTCATGGCTGCGCCTGGGGTCGCTGAGGGTTAAGTTGGATCCAGAACAGGACGTGCTTCGCACGGTGTCGCCCATAGTTCGCGGTCTTGTCAGGATCGTCACTTTACTATTCACTGTCCTGCCGGGCGCTTTGCCCCGACTGGTGGACAGTGAGTGGACCAGAGGTTCCCAGTGGTCTTATTTGCACTCAAATCGGATCGGGGGCGGAGGCGTCAGCAACTAGCGTTTGCCTGTGCTTCACAGAGGACAACGCTTTTGCGATTAATCAGGGAGGGCGTGGGTGGCTCCTCTTCAGAGGGACTATTCCATTCTCTTAACCTTGAGCGCAGTGATAAGGAAAGTTTGGAAGGAGGAGCCTTGATTTGGTGAGCAGCCAGTTTTCCAAAGGGCTCCCGAGGCTCCTTGTCATCAGATTGAAGGTAGACCATGGAAATGTGTTGTAATGTACCCGGCGAATCACAGAAGGACGCCTCTAGGAGTCGAATTAAAAAGTCACATTTATTGCAAGCCGGGACTATGAGGGGCCATTCCCCAAATCTCATAGTGATAAGATGGTGGCAACACCAGACTTATATAGGCAAAGATCACAAAGGTATTGATTACATCTCAAGGTTTAGAATGAGGAACCTGGTCAGACTTAAGCATGTTATCTAAATTACAGTTTTTGGGTCTCCGGGAATACTGAGTCAACAGGGACAGGGAGCCCTCTGACCTTGGGATAATTGTGCTGTCCTTCCCAGGCAAAGGAAGATGTGCTTTCTAAGACCAGTATGACCACAACCAATGGGATAATTTATATAATTCAGAAAATCAAAATAACTTTTCTATTGTTAAACAAAACAAATAAGTACAGAAGCCAAACAGCAGGGTTAAAGTTAAACTATAGTTTCTACCTGAGATGATTACTACCATACTTCAAATGTAGCCGGGGGCAGAGCCTCGCGCTAGCGGGAGCTCCAAATAATCTGTCCTTTTGAGCAATATAGCAAGTGAGCATCCATGTGGATATAATCAAGCTGCGTTTTTGCTTTTTGAGAATTTCTATAGTTTATTTGAACCAAACTGACTCTGTCTGGGAGCAAGATCTCAAGTGCTCCTGTTTCTTTCTTTAATCATCTTTATTCCCAAACTACTTCTCGTTTTCTCTCCTGCCTGTGAATAATCGCCGACTCCAGCAGTACCAGAGTCAATGTTCATTCCCTAGAAGGTGTACGTATATGTGGGCAGATACAGGTACTTACTGCACACACTGTCAATTGTCAGTGACCGAACAGGTGAAGCTCAGGTGCCCTCAGCAGGCGAAGCAGGAAGGGGGCTGGGTTTGGAGTCACAAACCCAGGTTTCAAGTTCCAGGCCCTGCCACATGCTTCCGCAGGCATGTAGGCCTTTCACCACGGAAAATATTAGCCCCGTAGGTTGCTTATGTGAATAATGCCAGCCGAAGTTACTGGATAGATGTGGTGATCAAAGATAAATTATATGAAATTTATAAACTCAGAAGTACCATATACTTTTTTTAAAATATATTTTATTGATTTTTTTACAGAAAGGGAGAGGGATAGAGAGTCAGAAACATCGATGAGAGAGAAACATTGATCAGCTGCCTCCTGCACATTCCCTACTGGGTATGTGTCCCCAACCAAGGTACATGCCCTTGACTGGAATCGAACCTGGGACCCTTGAGTCCACAGGCCGACGCTCTATCCACTGAGCTAAACCAGTTAGGCAGTACCATATACTTTTTATTTTTAAAATAAATTCTATTGCACTTACTTTAAGTGCTAGACACTGTTTTAAGAACTTTACAAATATTAATTTACTTAATCCTCATAACAGCCGTGGGAGGTAGGTACAATATTATCTTCACTTTAAAGATGATGGTACTGAGGCACAGAGAGATTCTAACTTCCCCGGGCTCTGGAATCTATTCTTATTGCACTGAACTGCTTCCTAGAGCTACTGCTGGTTCTACTGTTGTTGAGTAAAACAAAACTGAATAGCATTTCCTATAAAGAAAAAACAAAATCACCTGAGGATCATATGCACCCTGTATGTGTCACTGTGTTAGCCACACTGACTACAGAACTTCCTAGAACTTGCATACTTTATTTAAAAACAATTATATTTTATCATGTTGAAGTTTATAAATTAAAAAAATTAAATGACGAAAGAACTCTTAAAGAGTAAATAGAAGCCCATAATACTCGTTTATAAAGATTAAGACTTGTGACAGGCCTTCCAGTTGCCATGGCAACATGGGCCCGCCTGAGGCCCTGCTGCTGAGAATACAGAGGCCCATGGACCCTTTGGGAGGGAACTGATCTTAATTTTTGTCATGTTCTCCCCCGACCCTACATTACTTGGAAATTAAAAAAAAAAAAAAAGATAATTCAAAAAAAAAAAGATAATTCAAAAAAAAAAAGATTAAAACATAGGTGTTAAAAGGAACATTAAAATGGCATTTTAGCCTTAACTGGTTTGGCTCAATGGATAGAGCATCGGCCGGCGGACTCAGGGGTCCCAGGTTCGATTCCAGTCAAGGGCATGTACCTTGGTTGCGGGCACATCCCCAGTAGGAGGTGTGCAGGAGGCAGCTGATCGGTATTTGTCTCTCATCGATGTTTCTGACTCTCTATCCCTCTCCCTTCCTCTCTGTAAAAAATCAATAAAATATATTTAAAAAAAATAAAATGGCATTTTAAGTCAGTTTTGTTGTTGTTGTTGTTCATTCTGCAACTATTGATCATCAATTATGTGCCAAGCACTATCTCTGGTGATATGAATATACAGGTCATCACTGTACTGCCTATTCACCAGGAATTCGGTCTGGCGGAAGAATCACATAAACAAGGTCGTCATGATAATAAAACATGGTAGTTCCTGCGCTGCTGGGGTTACCAGGACATTTGGGGATCCCCAACGCCCCATAGCTAACTAGTAAGGGAAGTGGATGCTTAAAATGGCTTCCCGGAGGAGGTGACACCCTAAGATGGTTTGAATTTATTTCGTTCCTCTCACTGGCAAGCACTGACACTATTTTATCTTCTCCATTTTAGCTGCCATCCAGCAGTGGCGATCGGAAGGCAGAGCGGCGGTCTGGCTGCACGTGCCCATCCTGCAGAGCCGCTTCATTGCCCCGGCCGCCGCCCTGGGCTTCTGCTTTCACCACGCGGAAGCGGACTCATCCACGCTGACCCTGTGGCTGGGACAAGGGCCCAGCAGACTCCCAGGATATGCGACACATCAAGTGGGAGTTGCGGGTCAGTTTCTAACTCAAGATCGTCAGCATTAACTCTTTTTTTATAAATATATATTTGTTATTGTTTAAGATATTACATATGGGTCCTTATCCCCACGTTACCCCCTACCCCCCGGCTCATGCCCCCGAGCATTAACTTTTTAAAGGTTCCCCCAATTTATTACTTCGTGCAGCTTGAGCCATGGTGTATCCTCGTGGAAAATTTTGTTGAAATGATTATACTTGGGACTATTGCTAGTGCTTTGAATAGAGGAAATCTGCCCTGTGAATCAGCACGTGGCAGCTCTGAGCACAAGCAAGTTCAGCGTTTAGTTTCCCACAGGATGCGGCTGAACATGTTTCACACCCGTGTGAACTGTGCTACTCAAATAGTAACACTGAATGGGGACCAGGGAATAAATTCATTATGGTAAAACATATTAGTACTAATTATGTAAATTTGTAGAATAAAAGATAACATAGGTTGAATTTAAGATAAAGCAAACCAGCTTTTTAATGGTTTGAACATTACTCCTTAAAGACATTTACATTTAGTTATTGTGCCAAACAGTTTAAAATAACATAATTTAAATATATTCTAGAATTTCAAAGTTGCTAATTAGCTTCAGAGACAGACTTTTTTTTGAGAGAGAGAGAGAGAGAGAGTGGGAGAGGGAGAGAGAGAGAGAGACATCGATGTGAAAGAAACACATCAATTAGTTGTCCTGGGACCCTGTGGCCCACAGGCCAGCACTTATCCACTAAACCAAACTGGCTATGGCCAGCAACATAGACTTGGTTCTCAAATTGTGGTGTTCAGGATAATCACCTAGAAAACTTGTAAAACAGATGCTGGGAATGACTCCCAAGAATTTTTTTAAGAAGGTCTGGGGACTGAAAATTTGCTTCTCTAAGAAGTTCTCTGCTGCTGCTGCTGTTCTCTTTGAGAATTAGGGTTAAGAACATTCCTAGATTTTCAGAAAAACTAAAATAGTAAAGAATCCTCATGACCTAAAATAAATGAAAGCAGTAATACATATTAATTGGTAATGTAATCAATGATATTTCATTTGTCTTCATATAATTTACAAGAGGTCTTAAAGGTAGCTTGTACCTTTGAAATCATTTAAAGGAGTGATTCAAGGATGTCCAATGTTTTCTCTGTCCATGGTCTCAAGCACAGGCACTCAGAAACTTTCCATTTGGTTCTGCTTCACAAGACTACTTGAAAAATTTGATGATAGCCTTCATTAGATGACTTCATTAGAAAGTCATACAAATGATTGTCCATTCCTTCATACAGACTAAGAGTTTCCACTTATTATTACAGAATTGGTACTATGTGCATAAAGAGTGTTCTATGAAGGACTTGTTTCTATCTACATACTATAACTTATATTGGAATTAAGATCTACCTCAAGAATTCAGGGAATGAGATTCTGGTACCTGACAGAAATCTTGAATAAGTAGGATTTCAAGTGGCTGTTGGGGATGGGGACGAGATAATGTAAGAATATTGTCTGGAAGGGTACAGAGTTTTTAGGTGAAGAGAAAATAGTTGACATTTGTTGCTCTAAGCAACAACAGTGGGTGTGCCTGGATGAGGGGATTAGGACCTAGAATATGCCACTTTGGGTCATTAGTATTTTAAGTTAAAGACCATGGAGAAACAGCAGATGTAGGAAGCGTTCTGTGCCACCTTTCTTCCTAAAAGTAGAGCATAAGTTTCTTGTATCAGGAGGAGGAGAGCATTCTTGTCACCGGAGGTGGGAGTTGACACTGAGAGGAGTCTGGACAAACACACTGACATGACCTTTGTATTCTATTAGTTTCCCCCAGATGCTTTCTAGCCCCTTTCCCATAATTTACCTCCCCTAGTCCAAACCCACAATTTATCTCTTTTTGTTAAAATGGTAACTACTTTTCTGGGGATTTTCTTTCTATGCAGTGCTCCACTCCTACTCCAGGCCACATAAAAATATTAACATAAAATAAAATGTATATTTTTCTGCATTAATCTGTTTTCTGTCAATTCCATTCAAAGGCCCCAGATCTAGAACCTAAGTGGATAGAGGAAAATTCTTTCATCCTTTCAGAGCCTTTAAACCCATTGGCTTCTCTTCCTGAATGCTCTTCCCTAGGGTTTCATCTCGGTGTTTAGAGCTGAGTCTTCTGCTCAAATACCTCCTCAAAAAACCCCTGGCCTTTAGGTCTAAAAAAGAGTCCTCCCATATGTCAGTCCCATTATCCTTTGTTCCTTTATCTAGCTGTTTTCCTTTACAGGACTTATCGAAATCTGTGATTATATTATTTCATTTACTTAGTTTCCCCCACAATAACATAAACACCATGAAGGAAGATATTTTATCTCTTGTTCACCACTGTCTCCTCAGGTTAAAGACAGTGTCTGGTATACAGTCAGTGCACAGTAACTATTTCTTGAATGAGTGTTGGATAGATCTTTAGATGGAAACCCTCTGAGAACACAGCTATAGTGCGGTGAAGGGGCTGTGTTGCCATGACAATGCCTGCTGCAAACCAGGCCCACTGGATGTCAGTCTTAGAGCAGCCTGAACATGGACAGTCAAAATGTTGCCACTCATGAGGTTATTGTGAGGAATACCTGAGGTAATGCACAGAAAGCACTTGGCACAGTTCCTGACCAATGACAATAATATACTAAATAACCTGTTAAAGCTCTGAGCTCTTTCGATTTAACTTTTGTATTGTGGTCAGCAGGGGTCGCTCACATTATGCTTTAGCACTGCTCAGTTTGTCTTTGGAATATTTTGCTCATGTTTATAGTGAATTCATTGAATAATCACAAATTATTAAAAATTTAAGAGGAGGATTCCTTGGTCTTTCTTTGGCAACTTATCCTTTGTAAAGTCCAATTAAATTATAGTTTACGTTTTCTAATAGAAGCCAACATTAATATTAATTATATCTCAGTGGTTTTCCTTATTGCTTAAAAATACTAAAATATGTTTTCATTTCAGAGAAAATTGCTCTTCCTGTGTTCCACATACCTACCCCTTCTATATTTTATCTCCAGATAACATGTGTCACTTTCTCATGTTCTATATAATTTACTTGTTTGCCATCTCCTCTTACACAGATATACACAAACACACACACATACCTTGTGCACCCCATTGAGGATAGGGAATTTTGTTTTGTTCACCATATCCCTATCATTATCACTCAGAAAAGTGCCTGACACATAATTGGAGCTCAATTCATATACTATATATAAAACCTATACATGATCTATATAGAAACTCAGTTAATATTGAAAGACTGGATGGAAATATCGAAAATATCTTTTTAGTAATATCTTCTCACATTATGTAAATACAAATATTTTTAAATTATAGAATTTATAGGAACCTAATACAGATTATTAAAGTATCATAAAGACCCAGGATGGCCCTAAGAGAAATAGAAAAAAATATTTTTGAGTCCTAACACCTAGCCAAATACTTAGCGTGCTGGGCCATGCATATCACGAATGAATAAATAAAAGGAATGGACTAGAACTTAAAACATATATAAAACAAGTGTCCCCCAAAGCAATATACTGGTATGTTATAAAGCTATGTACATACATGGTAAACAAATTTAGGTGGCTTCAGGAAGGTCTTGAACTGAATATTGACATGTTTGAGATTTGGATCATTGGGGGCCACAACCTATGTTCTATACATAGTGATGTGAGGAATAAAAATGAGAATGGAAAAGTCAACTCATTAATTCAATAAATATTTGTAAGCACTTAAAATTGTTTGGACACTAAATCAACATATAAAAGGATAGAAATATTAATTTAATGAACTGTGTGCCCTCAGGAATAGACAATGTGGAGAAGTTCTGCAGATGATTATCCTACTAGGCAGCATAGCTAGAACTATCAAGAACCTGGGTAACCAAGCCACCAGCTTCTTGGATGAGGTGGTATTGAATTAGGTCTGCAAGGTTGGGCAGGGTTTTAATGGCCACCAATAAGAGTGTGAGAGGAGTCTCAGATGAATGAAATTAATATTTTTCAATTATCTTTTATTTTCCCCCCAATAGGAGCTGTATTTGATGAAAGTACTAGAAAAATATTGGTTGTCCAAGATCGAAATAAAGTAAGTTGCTTCTGTTTATAAATTGCTTTCTAAATGTTCAGTTCTCACTAGAGAAAAAATGTAGAAATTTTTATATGCTCAAGGAATTACAGAAAGATATTTTAAAAGTTATTCCTAAGCAGTTATGGATCATTTGGCTATTCATTTGATCCATAAATGCTTATGCAGGCCTTGAAAAGTCGGGGTAACCTCACTATTGCCCACTATTATTTTATGGCTACTGGAAAATTATTAATGGCTGTATTTAATTGGGAAGACAGCTCTCTTTCTAACAGACTATCAAGACATTCTTTCATTCATCCAACATTCATTAAGCTCCTACTACGAGCCAGGTGCTGAACGTGCGAAGATTAGTAAGACAATACCCCTGATGTCCTGCATCTCACTATCCATTTGGGAAAGCAGTCATACAACAGATGGTAACAATTTACTTTGCCTTTAAAAAGTCACTAAAGAATTATCAGAAGAGGTGATATTTAAGTTGTATCTTGAAGAATGAATAGGAGCTTACCAGGGGAAAAAAAGCAGACTGAGATAATTAGAATTCCATACATAAGGGCCCAGGGTTTGGAAAGGAGCTGACTTGGTGTTTTAGTCTGTTTAGCTACTATAACAAAAATACGATAGGATGGGTGACTTAGACAGCAAACATTATTTCTCACTAGAGGCCCGGTGCATGAAATTCATGCACTTGGAGGGGGGGGGTCCCTCAGCCTGGTCTGAGCCCTCTCACAGTCCAGGAGCCCTTGAGGGATGTCCTTAGTGCTGCCACAGAGAGGGGAGAGGCTCCTACCACCGCCGCTGCACTCACCAGCCATGAGCCCAGCTGAGCAGCGCTCCCCCTGTGGGAGTGCACTAACCACCAGGGGGCAGCTCCTACACTGAGTGTCTGTCTCCTGTTGGTCAGTGCACATCATAGTGACCGGTCATTCTGCCATTTGGTCGATTTGCATATTAGTCTTTTATTATATAGGATAGTTATGGATGTTGGGAGGTCAAGATCAAGGCGCCAGCAGAGTTGGTGTCTGATGAGGTCCTACCTCCTGGTTCATAGGTGTTTGTCTTCTCACTGTGTCCTCACATGGCAGAAGAGACACAGGAACTCTCTGGGATCTCTGTTATAAGGACACTATGCCCATTTATGAGAGCTCTGCTCTTATGACATAGTCATCTCTCAGAGACTCCCCTTATAATGCCATCATCACATTGGGAATTAGGATTCACATGTGAATTGGGTGGAGGTGGGGAGGACATAAACATTCAGTCCATTGCACACTGTGGAAAGAATAGCAAAAACTTCATTGTGGCCAGGAGTGTAGGCAGTGGAAAAATATGTGACCTAAGAGCTAGATTGGGAACGGAATATAAAAAGCCTTGTACACAAAAATAAGAAGTCTATTCAACTAAAACCAACAAAGGTTTTTAAGAAACAAATGTTTTCATGCTCACTCAGGAGTATAAAAGTTAAAGAGAGTAATTATTTTAATGCTTTCAGAGACTTTAGTAAATATCAGCGGACAGAGTCAAAAATTTTCCCCGCATATATGTTTTTAAATTTTAAACAACTATTGGCAATGATAGCTGAAAGTATCACACATTTCTCAGAAATGTGATCTAAAAGCATTCTCATAGTTATAAGTAACTTTCAAAGTTTTAGTTAAGGCAGGTTCTCTGACTCAAACTAAGCTTTATCAACAGAAATTTATTGCATACATAAAGTATTTTGTGCCTGGCCCTCAATAAGTCCCTTCCTCCCACTGCCACCAGGTACACACCTGTTGATGGAACCTAAAAGGGAGTCCCCTGGCAAAGCAGAAACTGGTTAGCAGGATCCCAGCTCCAGCATCATTAGGCCGAGCACAGAGGGTGAGTTTGGAGCATCCGCTTATTACAAATTCACGTCGCCAGGCCCCGCTCCAACCTCCTGAATCAGAAACACTGGGAATGCTGCTCAGCAGTTCATGTTCACAAACCTAGGTGATGTGGGTACATGGTCAAGTTTGAGAACTGCTACCCTAGCACGTTGAGCTCCGACTCTTCATTTGCTGACTTGCAAACCTGCCAGTAATTGGTCCTCTAAGAGTGAGAAAGCAATGCTTTTCATATTCCTACTGTGCTTCTGGGCAGCTGGGACTGGCAGAGGCTGGAGACAAATTTAGATTACTTAAGACTTTGGATTCTGTATGGGCTACGTAGAAATGGTACTCCTTTTTAGGGCTTCAATTTTGTTGTATTTGTTAATCCTCACCCAAGGATATATTTTTCCTGTTAATTTTTTTTTTTTTTTTTTTTTTTGTGAGAGTGGAAGGGAGAGGGAGAGACTGAGAGAGAGAAAAATCGATGTGAGAGAGACACAGTGATTGGTTGCCTCCTGCACATGCCCCAACCAGGGCCGGGATTGAGCCTGCAACCAAGGTATGTGCCTTGAACAGAATCGAACCTGAGACCCTTCAGTCTGAGGGCCAACACTCTAATCCAGGGGTCCTCAAACTACGGCCCGCCGGCCACATGCGGCCCACGGAAAACAATCGGGTGTTTTTGCCGCCGCTGTGTGCATAGGAATTTGTCCATAGTTTTTTTTTTACACTATAGTCCGTCCCTCCAACGGTCTGAGGGACAGTGAACTGGCCCCCTGTTTAAAAAGTTTGAGGACCCTTGCTCTAATCACAGAGCCAAACCAGCTAGGGCTTCAATTTTATTTTTTAAGCTATAAGCAGAGAACCATCTGAGAGCAACAAAAGATGAAAACTGAGTATTCATGTATAGTTCAGTTTGTAATAAAACAATATAAAATGTGATACTAAACCATATTTAATTTCTGTAATTATATTGTTGTTAGGTGGAATTTAAGCATAAATAACAGCCATTAACCATAAACAACTAATTAGCATTCTTTCTGACATCTGAGACAGTTCTCCTTTTAGCGCCTCCCTCTGCCCAGGCATTGCTGTCAAGGCATTCTTGCAGAGCAGAGTTTAACCCTCACCACAAACATATGCACACAGACACAAAGCTAAAGTGATACTTAAAATGGATCCTTTCACCTTCCCTAACCATAAAGTCCAATACTTCACCCTCCCCATGATTTTGAGAAATAAAAGGTCTCACAGTGGCTTGATCTGTAAACTGGGTGCTAAAAAAGCCAAGCCAGGGCAGGGACCTGTTCACTTACTCACTGGCGTTCCCGAGTTCCTATACTGACTACATTGTCAGCTCTGTTCTGAACTCAAAGCAAACAAAGCAAAGTTCCTATGTCTGTAGCTTATATTCAAATGGGTAAGAATAATCAACAAGAGAATAAATAATATATAAGGCAGTGATGTTAAGAAAAATACAGTGGTAAGGGGAGGAAGAGAATGGGCTTGCTACATTGTGCATTAATTTCTGTACACCCGGCCCCCTACCACGCAATAAATTTTTGTTCAATGAATAAACTTACTAAGAGATCTCTATGGCAGCTTCTATCTCATTGGTAAGGATAATACAATAGCTAATGTATTATCTAAGTACAGTGGCTCTGTGCCGGCTGGTATTGCTTAGTGGCTGAGCTTCGACCTATGAATCAGGAGGTCACAGTTCAAATTCACAAGCCCTGGAATGAATGTAACCCAAACAGTCCAAATTCTGGTTGGATTACATAGAATGTTCCAGAGAGGTCTGAAGAGCAAAAGATATAGAAAAAGGCAGAAAACAGTAGTTAAGGATTAGTGGGAAAATAGCTAAACAACTTTTAAAATTTATTGAAAGATGGATAGAATCAGAAGGCCTGGATTTTAACCAAGTTTACTACACTCTAGCTCTGTCACCTCAGGCAGGTTATTAAGTCTTTTTATGCCCTCAGTTCTACCACTTCCAAAATGGGAATAGTCCTTCATGGATTACTGTAAAGTTTAAATGTGTGTAATTCTTCTTTTTATTATTGATTTTTGAGAGAGGGGTAGAGAGAGAGGAGAAAAACCTCAATCTGCTGTTTCACTTCCGTATGCATTCATTGGTTGATTCTTGTATGTGCCCTGACTGGAGATCGAACCTGAAACCTTGCTGTATCAGGATGACACTCTAACCAACTGAGCTACCTGGCCAGGGCTACACGTATATAATTCTTATGAAAACATTCAGGTAATATATATTACCTAGTATTTGTTGTTGTTGTTATGTTGCTGAACCCAGTTAATGGGGAGTATTCTTTAATATTAAAAAAGGAGATATATTCATCTCTCCATAGATCAGATCTACATTAACCAGGTTTTCAAACCACCTGACAAGGGCCTCTCTACCTCCCACTTAGACTAACTGTGGGCTGAAGCTTTTTTGGAGATGGAGGAAGCTTTTTTCAGACATGCTCTTTAAAGCTAAATGGTGCCAGAAAATATAAAAAAACTACTCACCAGCATAGAAATAAACTTAATTTTTCCATAGCTAAGGTTTATGAAATAAAGAAAATCAAATTTGTATGAGATGTTTTCAGTCCTTCTGTCTAGCATGTTCCCCCTTCCAATAAGTTCATATCTCCAAATGTAATCAAGACTCAATCTCCAATTATTGTCATCAACTCTAAGTTTAAAAAAAATTTGGCTTTTATTGTTTTGAGGAAGTATTTATCTCTCTTGTTAGAAATAGAATTTATGGTGGTGAAGTCCAGTATCCTATTGAAGAGAAGATTGCAGCATTTCCATATAAACATAGCTTCTGGAATCATTTCAGAATAGAACTCCCCGAAGACAGTGCATTAATGTAGACATCCTTAGAGATATCTTCCTACATTAATAAAACATAATATGCGTTATAAATGAACCTCACGTCTGAGCCAGACACAGAAGGGTGGAAAGCCTGAATTCTGAGCCCACATAATCAACTGTCTGTGGAAACTCTGGGAACCATGCCACTGCTCTCCAACCTAGCATAGTTGGGAAATGACACACTTTAAGAAGCACCCGTCCAGGAAATGAGAGGGCCGCAAAGCACACCATAAAAAGGTCCATGAACTTGTTTTATGAATGAAGAGTAGAGGGTGCCCTGGCTGTAAGCTGTAGTGCCTTTATGAGTATGTCCTAATTTCTCATTCTTCAGCTTTGATCATGGTGATTGGGTAGATATAACAAACTTCTAACAGGAAAAAATATGTTAGCCATAAGCATATTGTCCCATGCCTTTTCATAATTATTTTTAATCAGTTTTCCCCATGCTTATCTCCATTCCAAGATCAGATCTTCCCACCCCCAAAGAAGGTGCACAAAAAACCCCACAAACTTAATCAGTTTTATTCACACTACCCATGAAATCATTAACACACAGGGCAAGAAAAATCATAAGGTTAATATATCTGATTAGACACACAATACAGAAAATAAATGTGAAATTAAAAGTAGTGTACTTCAGTGATTACATTTTTACTGTATTTTCTACTTATTTATAGCAGCATCTGTAAGATTCCTCTATTTGTTAATAGTTAACTAGCAGCAAATTTTTTAAAATTACACTAATTCAGTAGATGTTTCCCTTCACTGTTTTATTCATACAGAATTTATCACATTAACCAAACAAAACCACTTCGATTTCCCAAAGAAAACAGTGGGAAAATAATTCATAAGTTACTAGTTCCCCCAAAAAAGAAGGAAAAGAGTAATGAGGAAGGAAACTGGAAAAAATTTACATGCAATTACCAAAAAATAAACTCTCAACCACCTTAACCAATATGGGTAAATATTGTGGGTCACCATATATGTGTGTTAGTGAATAAAAGCTGTGCTGATGTTATTTTCTGACTTTCACTGCAGTTGAAAAACATGTGGAAGTTCCCAGGAGGCCTTTCGGAGCCTGGAGAAGATATCGGTGTGTATCTTACATATTTTCAATTGGCCTGAAAATGTTAAGGAAATTCATGTTTTACTTTTTTTGCTGTATAGTTAAGAATAAGATTTTAAATTTTCTAACTGGTTTAGACTAAGAAAATTTCAGAGAGGTTACTTCAGGGCTGATATAAAATTAGCAGCAAAACATGCATACTCCATTAGTCTAAAAAATGCCATCAGGAGGATACACCTGTTTTTCCCTTTAGGGCTGCTTCTAGAGCAGGGGTGGACAAACTTTTTGACTCGAGGGCCACAATGGGTTCTTAAACTGGACCGGAGGGCCGGAACAAAAGCATGGATGGAGTGTTTGTGTGAACTAATATAAATTCAAAGTAAACATCATTACATAAAAGGGTATGGTCTTTTTTTTTTAGTTTTATTCATTTCAAACGGGCCAGGTCCGGCCTGCGGGCCGTAGTTTGCCCACGGCTGTTCTAGAGTGATTTGTTTGAAAGTGAGAAGCTATGGATATGCATCAGTAAAGTTTAGCATTGAGGGCTATTTGGGATATGACTAAAATTGTTGGAATTAAACTATGAGAAAACACAAATTCTTGACTATGTCATCACACAAGGATGAATAGTAACTTTTACATGAACTTTGAAACAAGTATTATTTATAAAGTCAGTTATAGAGCCATGGTGATATAATTCTTCTATTTTTGAAAAATTTATCTACTAGTTATTGTGACTAGTCAGAAGCCAAAGCAGAGTAAAATATCTCATATGAGAAGATCTCACATGAGAGACATATCTCCTTAAAACAAGTTCCTGAGCTTAATATGGAAGACAGGAGAATTTGAAAAAAGCTAAGAATTCTCAGTGTCACTGATTTTATAGGAAATAAATGAAAGAATAGAAACTGAGTTTTCCCACCTATTCCTCCTTACCCCACTGGTCAAATATAGCCCCTGTCATAATAAATCAATAGATAACTCATTTGGATACCAGTACTATTTTTCCACAACTTTTCCCTCAAGATTGCATGTCCCTGTTCTCTTTAGCCAACATTTATGTGAACACAATTTCCTAAATTATCCTTGGATATTTTATATAAAAATGTATATATTCCTGAAACTTAATTTCTAAAAATGTTACACAGATTAAAATGCTCTATATATAGTATTACAGCCAACTCTTAACAACCAGTAAGTACATTTACTACATTCAAATAAATTCATAGCAAATTCTGGATTTTAGATATTTATTGACCCAGATTCTGGTGGGTCTTCTGTGGAAATAAAAGGGAATTTGGTAGTGTTGTGTGTGCTGGGAGGTAAAGCCATTTATCATTGAACACCTAATTATCTTCCACTTTCCTTATGTGGTGTATAAGAGCATGTGAATTAGTTAAGCTTATGTTACATCCTCACCCAACCCATACTGGGCAGGAAGCCGTCTGCAGGAGATTTGTGTAGCTTCCTCGCCAATGAACTGGAGTTCATTTTTATGGATCTTTAGAATTTCAGATAGACTTATATTTAAATGTACATGAAGAAACACATTTCCAAAACAAATAGTTAGGTTTAAGTGTACTCTAGAACCCTTCAAGTCCAAGTAGTTAAGAATTTACTACTTTTTATGTATTTGTGGTTGACACAACAATCCACCTACCCAGAGATCATAGATACACCTCAACCGTGTGGAACGAAGGAAAAAGCAGCAGTTGTCATTCACCATCTTTCTAGTATAAATTAAAGCTTTGCCTTAGATTGCTAAAACCCTGAAAGCAGCTGGAAATGGTAACTGACAGTAGAGTCCTGAACGACTATGTCTATCCAAAGGCATTTCTGTTCTGTAATACAATACAATACAATACAATACAATAATAGATATTTTTAATGATGAAGCCAAATCATCCAAGAATTATTTATTTTCTTTAAACCCTATATTTAGGAACATAATCTATTTTAGGAATACTGCCATCACCAATGTGCAAGCATTCAGACTGGCTCATAAGTAGTAAACACTGGTTAACTGGGAAACATATCTGTTTGCAATCCTTCATTCTTTATTACTAGGTAAATGAAGCACTATTGTCTGTAGTGTCTAAAAAGAATCAAGAGGAGCATACACAAAATGGAATGCAATCCTCAGGCTTTAATATACTACCCTAGGAGTACAAAGGTTAAAAATGGAGGCATTGCCTTCCTAAAAAACTCCGTTATCCCTGCCAGGGACAACCCCTGCATAGCCTGAGGACTGCACCAGTCGCTGGTCTGGGTTCATCTGTGCCCCAGAGTCAGAGGGAAACACTAGGAAAGCCCACAATCTGCACAATTTTTCTATGATTTTATTTCCATCTAATCCTTCATTAAATATCACAAAATAGAAATAACAAATATAAACTCCATCTCACTATTGTTCTACAACTAAACAAAATGCTATGACATATTTAAACATATCTCTCCATCAGCAAAAATACGGTAAAAACATAACCCTCTTGGTTTTTCCTATGTTCTTCAAACTTGTAACACAGTAAATGGTATTTCAGTTTAGCTTACAGTACATTAGAATAACAAAGGCCCAACAGAGAAAAGCACTTTATCCAAATAAAAATTCAGATTCATGGCAAGATCTTTGGAGAAGAGATTTCCATCTGGGGGCAGAAGGGCTCTCTCATACCCTGGACACAGAAGCACCGACTTGCCCATTCAGTTTTCGTCTAGCCACTGCTCTGCTGATTCAAGTTAAACTGATCAGACTGCCCAGGCACTCTGCTTTGGGGCCCACCGCACCAGTGACTGCTGAATCCGTGACATGGAAACAGGCTAGATGGGAACTGAAGGCCCAAATTTTGACTAGTGACACTGAGAACTAGACAGGACCCCCATGTTTAGTTTTCAAAGTGTTTAAAGAACACTTAACCGATAGTTAAGTGATACCAGCCAATGACATGTAAAAGCTAAGACTAGTGCCACAGTCTTTAATAGATTCAATAACAAATACGGATTCTATACCAGATTGAAAATTATTTTTCTTAGTAAGGAAATTTTTTCCTTTTTAGCATAAATTCTTACACATTTTTAATTTAAAAAATATAATTTCTAGCCCTGTGCAACCTGTGGCAAATCTCAATTATAAGGGGAGTAGGCATGTAATTAAAAAATGGCAGACAGATGGCTTACATTTCAGAGCACCTTGCTCCTCCTGCACACACTTCCAGAGCCATTTCATAGGGAGCGTCCGGGGCTACCCAGGGAATTGGGAAGACAGTCCGTGGCAGAGCACATGGACTTGGAGACAGTCTCCTTGCCCTCCTCTTCCTTGCCTGTTCTTCACCAGTAAGACCAGCAAGACTACTAACAAGGCAAATATAATTTACTGCTTGACAAACAAGAAAAGGTGGGTACTAAAGGGCATTTGAACAAAAAGCTATGCAACTATGATACTTCCCGGCAAACTGGATAAGGAAGGCAGCTATTTTCAGGGCTTCTTGTGCCTCTTTGGGAGATAATGGCAGCATCACAGAATTAGAAGAAGCCATTGGGGGATTATCTGGATAGTTAGAAAAAGCAGCCACCAGCATATGTTAATGGCAGTGAAAATCCTGCCCCATAAGTTTGTGTGTTATCAGAAAGTCACCCTTCTAAAATGTGGAAACCCTGTTGTATTACAAAGTTCTGTGTACTGCAAGTTTTTAAAAACCTCTGATGGAGTGACTGCAGCATCTGGGTGTTGGAGGAATGAATCTAAATTCTTTGGAATCTCAGGAAGCAAAGGAGCTGCCCAAAATCCCAATTGGGATTCTCCGGACTGGATAATTAGTGGAGAACAACAAAAAGATTGCAAAGGCATCCTCCTGAGATTTGGAGGCCTGACTGTCCTCCACACCTGCCCCAGATCACCAGGAGAGGTCCGAGTCCCTTCGCAGTCTCTACACTCCGCAGCCCTACACGTTCATAGGAAGGGATCACTTTTCTCCACACCAACATTTATAAATTCAGGCAGTGTGGGTGGATGGTCAGGAACAGGTAACGGTGAAGAAACATGTAGGAACAGTAACCGCAGCTTTGTAGCCTATGTTTTCACCTTTTGAGAAATAGAGCAGGAAGAAGTTAAAAATATGTGACCTCCAAAACATCATGTGGATAGGCCCCCCCAGTAGCAGCCAAAGAAATATTCACTATTTTGAAAGCTTCTTAGGTGTACAGTGGTAGGAAAATACTTTGGTATTTCAGGGTGTCAGAGTTTTTATTGAAAACTTCACTTTCTTAAAGTTTTGCTTCTGAACCTTTAGATAAAGTTCTGTAATGGAAAATCCTTGATGATTACCTTCTGAAAATGTGATTCTTATTGATTTGTACATCTTCTCTTCACGCAGGAGACACAGCAGTTCGAGAAGTTTTTGAAGAAACTGGTATACGATCAGAATTCAGGTCCCTCCTGAGCATTCGGCAGCAGCACAGCCACCCCGGGGCTTTCGGGAAGTCGGACATGTACATCATCTGCCGCCTGAAGCCGCGCTCCTTCACCATCGAGCTGTGCCCACACGAGTGCCTGCGGTGCGAGTGGATGGACCTCACCGACCTGGCCAAAGCCGCCAACACCACGCCCGTCACCAGCAGGGTCGCGCGGCTGCTGCTGTACGGGCACAGGGAAGGCTTCGAGAAGATTGACCTGACCATGGACCAGCTCCCAGCTGTTTACACGGGCTTGTTCTACAAACTCTATCACAGGGAACTGCCAGACAGTTACAAAATGATGACGGGAGTGGACTAAGTCATATTTACATGTGTAAAAATTTTTAGTAAATTGTACATGTAGATTAATGTGTGCCATATTCTAAGAATGGTGCACATTTTGGGTTAACTAAATCTCTGACTTTAATTTTCTAATGTGTATGATTTCCATGAAGAAAATTTGCAAGTGCACACATTTTTAAAGCCTCTTTTCAAATGGAGTGAATGTGTGGAAAGATTGTAGCTCTAAGTAAGCGTTACTGGATAAAGGCAAATGCTATATAAAAGGTGGAAATTTATACATTTTCCAGGAATTCTTGTTGTTTTCTTTACTAAGGCAATGGTTAAATACTTGACTATTAGATCAAAGGTTATCTGACCAGTTATCCAAACTGAGCAGATAGCTGCACACATTTTCTTTTCTTCTCGTTAACAAATTTCTAAAATATACCTCTTCCTTCATGTGAAACGAGATCAGATGGTGCCCTTAAGATCAGCTCTTAGCAGACATGGGAAGAAAAAGTATGGCTTTCTGGCCAGGTCCTGTTTTGGGTCCAAGTTTATACTGCCCATTCCGCTTCAGTGCCACGTACCAACTGGAGTACTTCCTTGACCGGTAAGTGTTGTAGTTATTGGATTCCAACCGTTCAAAAAAGAAACACTCATCCGTAACACATTTCTGAAAAATAAAGGAAGGATAAGTAGTTGTTATTGCTGCTATTATTGTTTTACTCTGCATATTAAATTTTTGACAATTCACTGCCCATTCTGCTCACCAGCAGCAGTGCTGTTGGGTTCAGCGGGATAGTCAAACCAGCCAGACTCAGCGGTCCGGGCTCTGACGCAGCCCAGACCCGCAGAAGGATGCAGGGTGGCCTCCAGCTAATCTCTTCGATGGAGGCAGCCACAGGCCCTCTCTGCAGCCCCCACGGGCAGGTCTGTGTTAGGCAGCAAGGGCACACAGGAAGTGTAGGAACCACACTGGCTCGGACTTTAAGTACCCCACACACATAGCTTTCAGGGCTCTCCACAAAGAGGGGTACACCCAGTACCAAACCTCCCCCCTACACCTGGGGAAACCCAAAGCTATGGCTTCCAGTGGCGGGTTATGGTCCAGCCATGCTCATCCAATCCAGAGGCAGGTTACCAACTGGGTCGTGTTGACTTATCAGGGTTCCCCTGAAACAGTGCTGGACAGGTAACGTTCCCATAGGCAAGAAACAGTTCCTTAAATTATATTTTTCCCAGTAGCTAATATTGTTTCAACGGCATGAAAGAATAGTTTATTGTACAGGAAATAGCGAATGTTTATATCGCCCCCAAATTGTATTGAAACATATATGATTGGCATTCTCAAAACACTGAAAGATAATGAGGAACAAGTAATGGAGAACATACTCCTTTCTGGCAGTTTCTTGTGGGAGGGGGAACTACTCTGCCTTTTGACTTCAACTATTTATCGAGGGGAGAAAATAGCCAGCTAAACAAATAGTTAGATCTGGTGATATGATTCCAAGTCATCAACCCTGATAGGCTGCCACATGATTTCAGGTAAATGTTCAAAAATCAACTTCACACCCTGGCCAACGAGGCTCAGTTGATTGAGCATCAATCCTACGCATCAAAAGGTTGCTGGTTAGATTCCCGGTCGGGGCACATGCCAGGGTTGTGGGCTCCATCCCCGTTAGGGGGTGTGCAGGAGGCAGCCGTTCGAGGTTGTGCTCTCACATTGACGTTTCTCTCCATCTCCCTTACTCTCTCTCTAAAAATCAAACTATTTAAAAAACTCAATTTCATATGGTAAGCAATGATGATACTGACCTCTGGGTGGGAGTGGGGAGAATCAACAAATGATTTGCTCACTTTAAGGGAAGAAAGGAAAAATAATTTATTTTTTTATATTTCAATTATAGGTAGATGAATAAAATCATAGAGAAAGGCATATAATTTTACACCTATTTCTATCTCCACATATAAATACAGCATGCACACAAGCCCATGGCTTTGCATTAATGAGTGCACCAGGTTGCCACTTCTGTCTGGATACTCAAATCTAGGAAACTTCAGCACTGGGAAAACCCACATTCAAAAGACTTGAATCTTTTCCCGGATTCTTTGGTTCCAAGATCAACTGAGCAATGGCACAAACTGACAGGGAAAAAAAAAATCATAAATCAATAAGCAAAACAATGAAAAGAGCTGGTGTAATAACCAAAGTGAAAGGTTCTGAGAGAGACCTAACAGAGAACGCATACATCTCAGGCGGTTAAAGTGAGGGTGCGTTGCAGGTCCTGTCGGCGGCTTGCAGCAGTGAGAATTTTATTGGATGCTTACTTGGCTTTTTTCATTAAACTTTTTAAAACTGAAATGCAAAATCATCCAGGTTTTTTTGCAACAAGTTAGTAAAGCAACATAAGTCTTTCTGATACAAATAAAACCCAGGAAGCCTTGCAGAGGAGCCAGCTCCATCACAGCCAGGACTGCGGCTGGGGAAGGCCCGGTTGTGGTAACAGGGGAACCCTGCAGTCATGTGGGGCATCCACAGCCCACACCTCCACTCTGCCCCTAGTGAAATGCCTTCTGCCTCTTGTGATGACCGACGTTAACCTGTGTTCCTTTGTCATTTTTCAGCACCACTGATAAAAACCTCCCTCTTTCCCAATTCTAGGTTTGAGACCATGAGTGGAAGTGAAAGGAAGTAAAAAGTGAGAGGAAAAGTCATACCGATCATAAAGATAACAGGGAAAGTTGTTATGGAGTGACACGGGCTAACTCCTCAGTCATCAGGACACTGATACGCTCATTTGGGGTGTTCTGTCAACTTCCAGGGCGCCCCACCTTGCTGTTGGCACTCCTTACAATGGTTGGCCTACGGGGATGGGTGCCATGCCAATAATATTTGCCTTCTCTGCCAGTTCCTACTATTTCAGAGAAGAGAAACAGTACCAGGGATTAAGTGGGCACTACATCATGGAACCCACAAACTGTTTCCACAGAGGTTACTTGTACCTTTACAAAAACAGCGCGGGCGGAAGGAAAGCTGGCTTCTGTGCCAAACGTCCAGGCACGTACATTTCCTAAACAACTGCTACGCACTTGAAAACAAACTGCGGTGCTTTTTCAAATGGGTCGTAGGGCAAAATTCGGCTCTCAGGAAAAGCAGGGGTTTCACATGACCATGTAAGTACAATTTCAATTCTCTCCTTTCTCAGTTTACAAATCTTCGGTGACTGTGACCTCAATGTTTCTATTAAAAATTGATGCAATAGAAGTTCCCTTAACCTTTATAAACATGTTTACAGAGCTTTTTTCCTATTCCCAGTGTTCAACTTCTCACCACTTCAAACCTCAGAGAAAGGGGGGTCCTCTGGAGGAATGACATCACAGAGGACGTGACTAAGTAGCCACTTCTCACACCTTTTCATCAAGTTAAATTTTCCTTTATTTTTGGTTTATTTTAATTTAAAAATAATGTTAAGATATAGAAAGCACACGGTTCCAATAATATATGCATTTATTTAACATGTGTTTTTGTCTTCTAGGCACTGGGATTGGTCAGTGAACAAACTCAATGAGGACCATGCCTTTGTGCCACTCCAGTCTAGCAGGTGGAGGCACCAAATAAGCAATGAACGTAAGTGAGTGACTTGTGTGCCAGATTAGAATGAATCCTGTGGAAAGAGTAAAAGCGAGAACGAGAGGGGTTGGGAGTGGGACGGTTGCAACACTAAATAGCACAGTCACAGGAGGCTCCCCTGGGAAAGTGACATTTGAGCAAATGCTGGGAGGTGAAGGAGTTAACCATCCAGACACGAGAGCAGGGCATTTCGAGCACAGAGAGGGGACAGCCAGCGCCAGCTAGAGCAGGATCAGGCCTGTAGCGTGTGAGGGCTGCAAGGAAGCCCGGGTGCACGAAGGGAGGGGAGGCGGACATGAGGTCAGAGAGGAAACGAGATAGGAGATTAGAAGCTATTGTAAATACTCTGGGAAAATGGGAAACCACTGTAGGCTTTTGAGCAGCAAAGTGGCATGACCTGACATTCTCCCAGGGTTACTCTGGCTGCCAAGACCACACTGGGCAAAGGCCGATGCCGGGGCATCTGTATGAGGTGGGCTGAGTATCACAGGCAGAGGGAGTGGAGACTCAGACCACAGTGGTGGCCATAGGGATGGTAAGAAGCTGTCTGCGTCTCACATGAGAGAATTCCAAAAAATTCATGTAGATTCCTCCTCCAAGGAGATGGCGCATAACCCTGCACCCTTCAGTGCGGGCCGTGTACAGTGACTTCCCTCCAAAGAAGACGGGATGGTAGTGGGGGGACGATCGCTCCACAGTGCTCCCTGCCCTCGCTCCTCCCTGTGCCCCTGGCCTCAGGAGTCTCGCCTGCTGCTACATATTAGATTTGAACCTTCTGGTCATTTCCCCATGCTCTGTTTTTGGATTGTTTGTTCTTTTACAGTACTTTGATTTTGCAGTTTTGGCTTATGAGGGAGTTTGCTCAACATGAATCCAAAAATGCTTTTGCTTACACCACTTCTGATAATTAAAAACAGAGACGATGTAAGTATTAATACCGACTATTTCAGAACAAACTCAAACACACAAACTGTGAAAAGTTAAAAGGAAATTTTATCTTAATCTTGTAAAAAATAAAAATATATATGTTGGTATAACATTTTATAAGATTGGTTTCTAAAAGAAGCAATAATTCTTATTAGGCAGTAACTTTTGCATTTAATTGTACTTTCTCTCTTAAATGATATATATTCCTCCTTAACTGTTGCATTTTTCTGACAATGTTGATCAGTATATATTGTCAATCTAGATAAGGGAGCCCTCAAAAAGCTAGTTTCCCTACTTTGCGTGTAGGCTTCATAGTGAAGGCCCCTCAAGTAAGCAAGTTATTCTACAGGCAGGTAAAAAAAAAAAGTATTTTACTTTTACAGTGATTAAATGTATATCCTCAGAGAATAGAAATGATTTCTCATATTTCACTATTATGGATCAACACAGGTCACACATACTCGAATACTTACCGAAATGTTTTGTTTGGTTAGCAGCCTCTCACATTTTACAGAAAACAATGTCGGACTTCCTAGCAGATAAAGACCAGGCAGATTGTTTCAGTTCAATGCTAACATTGAGGTTGTCGGTGATTTAAACTTAAAACTACAATTGCCTCACTATATGCAATTTTAAAAAAAAAAATCTACTACAATTTTGTGAACACTTAAGAAATCATAAATCCTAATATTTGTTCTGGACTTCTGTTGCTCATAGCAACAGAATTTCTCCTGCTATGGAA